CCTCGGCCTCCCAGAGAGCTAGGATTACAGGCGTGAGCCACCGCGCCCGGCTGGGATTATGTTTTTATAAGATTTAAAATGGCAGTCCTCTCAATGTAAAAATACAGAGCTGGGCATGGTAATTCACACTTGTAATCCCAGCATTTTGGGAGGCTGAGGCAAGAGGATCACCTGAGACCAGGAGTTTAAGATAAATCTGGGCAACACAGCAAGATCCCGTTTCTAAAAAAAAAATAGAAAAATTAGGTGGCCATGGTAGTGTGCACCTGTAGTCCCAGCTACTCAGGAGGCTGAGGCAGAAGGATCACTGGAGCCCAAGAGTTTGAGGTTGCAGTGATCTGTGATTGTGCCACTGCACTCTAGCCTGGGCAACAGAGCAAGACTTGGTCTCAAACAAAAAAAAAAAAAAAAGAATTTATTACTGAAATTCTTAAATAGAATTTAACTGTTGAGTTGCATTAAAGTTTGCATTATATCTCTTCCCGAAATGGATTTTTTGAACTTGGTAATTGATAAAAGGGGAGAACCTTTTAATATGCAGAGGTTTTGATGTTTATGTCTTCATAGGGTAACCAGTTCTCATGTGAAGTTGTCCCAAATGTTCCCTTCCATTATATAGGACTAGACCATGCTGAAGAGATACCTGATAATGTCTCCCGCCTTCAGATATCTAGGGCAGATCTTCTCAACACATCAGATGCAACATCCCCGTTTTATTACAGATATTTGTGTAACATTCCTTCTACTAAAATGAAATTTATAAGTATAACCTACCTACTTTCATAACTTTAAAAAATAAAATATAATGCCCTGTGGTGCATAGGGGAAGTGGTACGTAATAATAGAAAGAATATAGTTCAGCATGTAAATGCTTGAGCCTGACTATACCAGAAAGACAACTGAGCATTAGTATGTTTGCATACCTATGTAAACTCACCTCAGACGCAACAGTCCCAAGGCTGAGACAGATCTGGAGGCTCAGATATTGTGAGTAGCATTTCTCTTGGTAATAGGACTTTATCGACAGTTTTTCATGATTTTGCAAAGTTCCAAATTAAGCAAAGTACAGTCTTCCATCAATTTATACAGTAGTTGCATTTTTAGAATATTAACGTATATTAAAACTGCAAAAAAGAACTTGTGTTTATATGTAAAACAGGTTCTAGATTCATCTAATTGTAAACAACTTTTTTTACATATATGAATTTGTCACAATATTAGAATATCTATCATGCAGGATGAGGGGTAATTGTATGGATGACTGTTACCCAGAACTTCTAGCATACCTGTACCGTACCCCACTACATGCTAGTAGCACCCTCCAACATATGAATGCATTGTAACCATCTAAAATTACCCCCACAAATTTCCAAAATAGCTCCTAAAGTAACATTTTTGCTGAAAGCAAAGAGTCTGTGGGTTGGTCATCTGGTTTTGTAAGCAAAGTTTTATTGGATCACAGCAATGCCCAGTCATTTACATATTGTCTATGGCTGCTTTCACGTACAAGGCAAGAGTTGAGTACTTGGAAAAGAGATTGTTTGGCCTATGATGCCTAAAATATTTATCATCTGGCCTTCTTTAGGAAAAAAATTGCCAGCCCCTGATGTCAACTGTCTACAACCCCTGACAGTCTGTTCTTGAAGGACCTCTGAGAACTAAAACTCAGAGTTTCTTGTTTATCTTATTATCATAGTGGGATTGACTAGTAAACCAAGTCGATTAAGGCAAAAATACTCCTCTGTTTCTCTGAATTATCTTTTTTTTTTTTTTTTTTTTGAGACAGAGTGTCACTCTATTGCCCTGGCTAGAGTGAGTGCCATGGTGTCAGCCTAGCTCACAGCAACCTCAAACTCCTGGGCTCAAGCGATCCTACTGCCTCAGCCTTCTGAGTAGCTGGGACTACAGGCATGCGCCACCATGCCCGGCTAATTTTTTCTATATATTTTTAGTTGTCCGATTAATTTCTTTCTATTTTTAGTAGAGACGGGGTCTCGCTCTTGCTCAGGCTGGTCTCGAACTCCTGAGCTCAAACAATCCACCCGCCTTGGCCTCCCAGAGAGCTAGGATTATAGGCGTGAGCCACCGCGCCCAGCCTTCTCTGAATTATCTTGATAATTTATTTACATCCATGGCAGAAATAGTTATTAGGAGGACTGACAACTAAATTAGGCAAGGTGTATTTTTAATGTTATTTTTAAGGATTCACGAGCAGTAGGAAATAGACATGTTTTAATATAATTTAGGAGGAAATATTACATCCTAATTCACTTAACTTGGCTACTTAAAAGGTTCAAATGTGTAGTCCCAACTACTCGGGAGACTGAGACGAAAGGATCACTTGAACCTGGGAATTTGAGACCAGCCTGGGCAATATAGCAAGACACTGTGTCAAAAAAAAAAATAGGTTCAGAGATTTTTTTTTTTTTTTTTTTAATTTTTAAGATGTTTTTATTTTTGTAGAGACTAGGTCTCCCTATGTTGTCTAGGCTGGTCTTGAACTCCTGGCCT